TGTTATGATCCAATGATCTTTGTGAAAAGTATGAGAATGCTGTAAATGTTCATTGCCTCTATTTCACCTTGTTAGTGTGAGATAAGGACAAGACGTCCTTCGCGGGCAGTGAAATCACCATGCCTACACACACACACGTTTGTGGGAGGTTGTCTTTTGTTTTCTGTATACAAGAACCAGTGCTTCATGCTTTTAGTTAGTCACTTGTTCAGACTCTGTGCTGTACACGTTGCTCCTTGCTGCAAGTAAAACTTTTCTTTGACTTAAGAGACGACTCTGTGTATTGATTGGCAGCAGTTAGGACTCCACTGAAGAATTTTCCTAACAAGCCTCCAATGTTCTCCCTGTTTAAGGCTTATTATAATTGTACTATACTGCAAACAGCAGGTTAAACTATACTGGTAAACTGGTCTTACCTGCTAGACATCAGCATGTTAGTATTGCAGCAGTGAGCAAGATAGCATTAAGGTAACAAGGGCATGCACTTTGTAAGGTTCATTTAACTGGTTTAAACAAACAAAAATCAAGTGTGACAAGTGTGATTCATGGATTAAAAGTTACACGCCTATACTCTCAGTTATAGTTTTAAAAGATTTAAAGCACTAACACTGTAAAAAAAATAATAATAATGACATCTCTTGCCTTGCTCTCTCTAGGTCCCCTCCTGGCCGGCATCCCTCCATACACTCCTTTAAGTAACACTCACACTTGTAACCTCACTCAGGCCTTTCATTGTAGCTCCACCCTACCTCAGAGCAAACTCACTGTTATCAAGCACACCCTCCCGCCACCATTCCACCGAACACTTTTACCTCACCAGCAGCATCATGCTGAGCCTGGAGTTCCTTCAGAGGCTGAGGCTGCCAAACCTGGACAAGGTCAGCGACTACATGAGGAATGTCTCCACCCCCACGTTGCTCACCGTGGGGGCAGTGGCTGCTGCAACCACCTACTACCTGGCAACGCGACCCAAGGCCCTCCCTCTAGTCTGCGACCTGCACATGCAGTCAGTTGAAGTTCCGGTGAGTTCAAGTGGCTGTCAAAGTCAAGTTGATAGACTCCTTCACTAACTCACTGAGATGTTACGCTGTGTGCATCCAGACATGATTCACTTGGAATACTTTAAATTACTCAAGTTGTCGCTGTAGATTTCATTACACACTTTTGTTTGTTTTACCAGGGTGGAGATTTGGCTCGTCAGTCAACTCTGCTGAACGGAGAGAACCACTTGACGCACATCTATGACGACGCCACAACGATGTACGAGTTCTTCCTCAGAGGCGCCAGAGTGTCCAGTAAGTTTCAAACAATGCATGATGAAAGCATATACGAGGTGTCAGGGAAGTTCCAGGACTGGTGTCACAAAGATAGATTTCAAACCCAAACTACAAACTACGAGTTTTCCCCTTCAGACGATCAACCAGCACATCTACAAAGAGATCCTTTTGCTTCGTTCAGTGCGCGAGAAGAGGCGAGAGTTGTGGCAGGACAAGTGGTGGCTGCTTCACCATGACAACTGCTCACAACGCCCTGAGCATCCGACAGTTCCTGGCTGAGAAGAACATCTCCGTGCTGGAGCAACCTCCCTACTCACCCACCTGGCTCCGTGGGATTGTTTCCTCTTCCCCAAGCTTAAGGGGGTCATCAAGGAGACCTGTTTTGAAGACGTGGACGACATCAAGATGACGATGAAGCTGAGGAGGATCCCTGAAGAATCCTTCCAGGAGTGCATGGCAGCGTGGCAGAGAAGACTGTTTGACTCCAGAGGGATTACTTCAAGAGGAAAACTTGTAGTCTGTAGTTTGGATTTGAAACATATCTTTTGTGACACCAGTCCTGAAAATTTTCCGACACACCTCGTATTTGTAGTTGTAGAGTTACTTAACAGCCTGTTAAGTTTTCCAGTGACCATAAAGTACACAGCTTTATCTCCTATATGGGGTTTAGATGTCATGCTTGATAACCACGACAGTAAACGAGAGCAACTTCTGTTTAGCAGGATGTTTCATTTGCCTTACATTTACCCTCACAGAGGGTAGTTTCAGTCATATCCTGTTACCCTGAGCACTATAAACAGCTTTTTTGAGTCAGCAAACCTTCGCTGGTGACATCACAGCATCTTGCCACCACTATAAACATCGTAGTTTTACATTGTTTTTCTATAAACAGATGTCTTGCATGTCAGCAGCACTATATACAGGATAGTACAACACAGTATGTATATGTGATGGTGGGATGGAAATTCTGTCACTTGTCCTTTCCATTACTTTCCCCAATTACAAGTCTCCTTTCCTCCTTTCATCCTCCAGATAATGGTCCCTGTCTGGGCTCCAGGAAACCAAAGCAACCCTATGAATGGATGTCCTACAGGGAGGTAAGAGTCACCGCGAGCAGCTCACCTTGTAAAAACATTATAGCTACCAGCTGGACAGCAGTAAAGCTCAAAATTGCAGGCAGTACAAACACTTGTTTATGCTCAGGAGTGGGATTGGTAAGGCTTGGAGTCCGAGTTGCAACACCACATCGCACAATGTTTCTGCTCCCACGTGTTTTTTTTCTTCCATGGAGCCAGTAGGTAATAACTCTCCCTGCATAAATAGTGGTAACGTTACTGTATGTCACTTCCACAGCACTGAAAATCATTACCTCAAAACACGTTATATCCCCTTTACCTGCATCTTTGAGATAAATAGAGGCTGAAGAAAGCTTTTTTTTGTATGTGTGTGTGTGTGTGTGTGTGTGTGTGTGTGTTTGTGTGTGTGTGTGTGTCAGGTGATGGAGCGAACAGAGAATCTGGGTTCTGCATTTCTTCACAAAGGACACTCCAAGACCGCCGACCCTTATATTGGCATTTTCTCTCAGAACAGACCCGAGGTACGGACACACCTTACAGCTTTTAAGTGATCTTCAGTTTTTTCTCATTAATTTCAAGAGAAATATGGCCATAAATCATACATCAGTACTGACAGATACCCTGTTTAACATGTATAGTTGCCAGAGGAGTGCTTATACGTGTATTTATAGGCTGCCTGGGGTTTTATCTGCCATTGTTACTGAGTAAACTGATCTTCTTTTAATGCTTGTGTGTGTTTAGTGGACCATCACTGAGCTGGCATGCTATACCTATTCTCTGGTATCAGTTCCTCTGTACGACACACTGGGAACAGAGGCCATCGCGTACATTATAGACAAAGGTAAACCCCAGCGACGACCGTGTAAATACGGACACTTGAACACTGTTATGTCGTTCTGCCGGTGACGGGTTTGTTCGCATGTGTTTGTCTTTTTGTTTCCACAGCTTCCATTTCAACTGTAGTGTGTGATGTAACGGAAAAAGTCAATCTGGTGCTGGACTGTGTTAAGGACACCAAACACTCGGTGAAAACCATCGTATTGATGGAGACCCCGAGTGCTGACCTGGTTGAAAGGGGGAAGCGGGTTGGAATCACCATCCTCAGCCTACAGGAGATGGAGGTCAGGAGGCACATTTTATCACTAACTCTTTATTTTTTGTTTTTTTCACCTTTTAGAATGAAAATATTTTGCACTGTTGTTTGCTTTAGTTCTTTTTATTTCCCTCCTGACATTTTTTTAAATCTCTGCATTGCTGTTTGCTATTTCATTATCTTGATGTTTTTCTCTTTTGCCACCTTGATTTAAATTTCCATCATATTTGTTTATTTCTTGCTTTCTTCTCGCTGCTTTTCTTGTTGTGCTGTGTTTTCTGTTTACTTTCATTCCGTCCATGATGACTTAATTCATTTTGCTGTTCTTGTTGCACAGGCCATTGGGAAGGCCAACTATCGCCAACCAATGGTACGTAAACACTTCTTACCGGTCAGTACTTAGAACAGGGCTGTTGTGTGTCATGTTGCACTGATTGACCAATGTCACTCCGTCCCTTCAGCCTCCAAAACCTGACGACATGGCGCTTATCTGCTTCACAAGCGGAACAACAGGTGACACATGCACTGACGCACAGTGGACTGCGATAAAGATGATTTCCATCAGAATCTAACATATGTATTTGTTGTTATATGTTTGTGCTTTTTCAGGAAACCCAAAGGGCGCTATGTTGACTCATGGGAATATTGTGTCAAACTGTTCAGCCTTCATCAAAGTAGCAGAGGTGAGGCTTGAGTTAGAGCGTCGTTTAGAACAATTTCTATCAAAGGGCGAGGTACGTTTCATCCTGAATATGTACGTTTTATGTCACTCAAACTGGCTGTCAGGGAGAAAGTAAGATTCAGTGAAGGTGTGGGATACATAGGAAAGGAAGAAGCAAGGTTAGACGAACTTGAGGCTTTATTTGTTTTAAAATTTTTTAATTAAGGAATGGATGATGGAGCAGAAAGGAAGAATGGTTTAAGGAAAGGGGGAAAAGCAAGGACAGGAGACAGGGACTGGTCTTACTGTCTGCAGTTGGCATATTCAGGATCCATAACTACCATCGAGTGAGAAGCTTTAACCAACTCGTCCCTCTTCTCTCCAGTCATACGTTCAGACCTCTTCAGAAGATGTCATGATGTCTTATCTGCCTCTGGCCCACATGCTTGAGCGGGTGGTGGAGGTACAAACGTTAACGCTGACTAGCTTCCCTCCCTGTCTGTGTGCATGTTTGTCTGTCTGGATCGTGTGTCTTTGTGCATTGTGTCCTTGTATGTGTGTACCTGTGTGCGTATACATGTTTTAGATTTATTGTCCAGTGGGTCCCAGTGATGTCCACATGTCCTACCTGCCCCTGGCTCATATGTTTGAGAGAGTAGTACAGGTACGTTCCCATAGTTCCCATAGTTCCCTTTTGTCAAAAATAGATCCCTGTTCCTTCAAACCTTGTGTGTTTGCCTCTCTCTAATTACAAACTCTTAACTTTTCCTCCTCTGATGTTGCTGACAGGGAGTGATGTTAGTGCAGGGAGCCAGGATCGGCTTTTTCCAGGGAGATATCCGTCGGCTGTCAGATGACCTGATCATGTTGAAACCTACTGTGTTCCCTGTGGTACCGCGACTCCTTAACAGAATGTACGATAAGGTAGGGGCCCATATTGGTGGTAGCCGTACACAAACAAGTGTCTGAATTACTGACGCTTCCCAGCTTAACACCTGTACCCCTCTGTACCCTATTTATTGAGAGCTTTCTTGTGCACCTCTGTAGATCTTTGGGCAGGCCAACACCTCTTTGAAGCGCTGGCTGCTGGGATTTGCCTACAGGAGGAAGCAAGCAGAGATGAAGAAAGGCATCGTGAGGAGAGACAGTATCTGGGATCAACTCATCTTCAGGAAGGTCCAGGTACGCAGACTCAGCATAGTTAATACTCCTGTCATGTCCCATGTAGTTGAGTTATAGATATCCAGGAAGGGTTTTTGCTAAGGCTGGGAGACATACTGAATTAATCTGCCTAACTTGTCCTGTTGTTTTTGACTCATATTATAAAATCTCTATTGGGAAAATGGAGTCATTGCAATGTGCATTAAAAGGCTATGTATAGTCAGAAACAGACTGCAGTTGTCCCCAGATGCAACAAATATTCTAAAAAAAAAAAAGAAGGCACTCTGATTTGCAGTATATCCCTCGAGTTAACGAAACTCAGCAGATCTCTTCCACCAGCAATCCCGCTAACAGCAGCTGAACTATCAGCAGAAACAGTCAAGAAGCACAAATAGCAGGAACAGAGGAGTCTCTGTGGGCTAAAACTAAATAATAATAATTAGTATTAGTGTTATTATTTACACTGCGTAATTTTGAGTGAGAGAAAAGTTGAAAAATCATGAGCGAAGATGGTCAAATATTTAGTTATCAGCCCAAAACAGTGATCATATGGATGGCTAGTTTTGAGAGTTGGTGACCAAAAATAGCTTGACTTTGTTAAAAATGTAGGGCTTCAGAAGGTTATTGACTGCTGTTACGGTTCCTCCTCTCAGCACGTTGTAAGGAAAAGTATGGAATTTATTTCTGTCAGTTTATATTTAGAGTATGGACCAATATTTGTGTTTCCAGACTGTTGCCACAATAATGTTTGCTAAAATATGACATTTAGAATTTCTATAAATAAATTGATTATACAAGCCAAGTGATTTTATGGCATGTGGACCAGACATAGTCTGACATCTCCAGAAAAATGCACAAATGTGAATTAGTCTGGAACCTCAATTTCAATGGGGCGTTGACAGCAGGCCAAAGTTTACTACTGTTTGAGAGGGCATGGACCAAAGTGATGTCAGTAAAAAGAAGACCGGATGTGTGGCGACTGAATAGCCCTCGACACCTTCACATCCCAGCCTGCAAAATAGGCTCTGCCCCAGTGACTTATAACTGCACCAAACCCAGGCAACCACCACCAGTGCTTCCCTCTCAGGTGGTGTGAAGGTTTCTAGTAGGTGTCACAGAAGACACAGCTTCAAGAGCACACAGTAAAATATATACAGCATTGTTGTCATCCAGAGACAGACTTTTCTGAAAGTGATTCAGAAGTTTGAAGATATGAGGATATAGATATTAGAAAGCATCTTAGTGTTGCAAATGTCTGGTTGACTGTCTTTTAACATTATTTGTCAGTCATGGTGGTGTGCTTCCCTCTACAGGCCAGCCTCGGGGGTCGAGTGCGTCTCATGCTAACCGGAGCTGCTCCCATCTCTCCGACTGTTCTCAGCTTCCTCAGAGCTGCAGTAGGCTGCCAGGTAACACCACGCGAAAGTCCAGTTTAGCTCTTGTTTCACTGGTTATCCTGCTATCTGATCTGTAATCACCTTCATCCGCACTCCTCCTGTTCCCAGTCAGGTCTACACTGCGTTATTCTCTGTTTGTAGAAGCAACGGTGACAGAAAAACAACGATAATACGTCTAATTTATTCTCTGTGTCAGTTCTATGAAGGCTATGGACAAACAGAGTGCACAGCTGGATGCACGATGACCATGCCTGGAGACTGGGAGGCAGGTAATAAATAAAAGAGCTGCTTGACTTTTGTTCATAAGCCACGGCATACAACTGTATCACAGTGATAAATTAACTTGGCCTAACAGGAGCTTGATTGATTTGACAACAGGTCACGTTGGAGCTCCTTTGCCCTGTAACTCAGTTAAACTGGTGGATGTGCCTGAGATGAATTACTTGGCTGCACGTGGAGAGGGAGAGGTGAAAAACAAAAACAAACAGACAGCATCGTATATCATTTGTAGTAATATCTGTTATTTAAATGCGTGTGTATGTGTCGGTTTCCAGGTGTGTGTGAAGGGTTCTAACGTGTTCCAGGGCTACTTGAAGGACCCAGAAAAGACGGCAGAGACTATCGATGCAGATGGATGGGTTCACACAGGAGACATTGGGAAATGGCTTCCAGTAGGTTCCTGTAGTTTCAGTTCAACTCAACCTTACAAATATTAATTACATCGCAAGTTCAGTTACATTAAACTAGATTCATAATAAGCTGTGTCTGTGACATAATGTGGACATCTAGTATGTGGACAGGCATTCATTTATTGTGAATGTGGGTTCACAGAATGGCACCCTGAAGATCGTGGACAGGAAGAAGCACATCTTTAAGCTGGCTCAGGGGGAGTACATTGCTCCCGAGAAGATAGAGAATATCTACACGAGGTGTGATGCAGTGGCACAAGTCTTTGTGCACGGAGACAGTCTGCAGGTAGGCGGGGAAAGAGAGGATGGGAGTGATTGGGTGGGATTTTTTATTGTTTAACTGCTGTTTACTGTGATGATAAATCCTTACCATGAGTGCACATCTGTTTCCTTTTCGCTGTATTGTGACTCTTCTCTGTATCACATCAGTGTACACATTGTTTATCCCCAGGCGTGTCTGGTAGCCGTGGTGGTTCCTGACCCCGACTTCCTGTCTGACTGGACGAAGAGGACGCTGGGGTTTCAGGGCAGCTACGAGGAACTCTGCCGCAGAGCAGTAAGTCCAGAATACAATGGATTCACACAGCAGACATGTTGTTTCCTCGAATACTAACAATGTTGACTGATTACTCTACTCATACGCATCAGTGATTCATAACCAAATATACCTCTGTTTTTGTCCAACAAATATTTATGGTGTGGAACAAAGTAAATGCATGGATATGACTGTGTGGGAACTGATCTTAGTGTACTTATTGTCACACAGTGATTAATAAATTCCCATCACACAACACACCTTCCGCCAGCTTAAGGCAGTTGTAACACCTATGGTCTGTACCATGAAGCAAGGTCGACATGCCCAGGATGCGTGTTCGTTATCTGACAACGGCAGTCACATTAAGTGATCATACAAAGCTGGTTATCAGTGCAGCGTTTCTGATTGTAGCTACGAGCATGTTCACATAAACATGGACAAGTTTAGAGCTGCGTGTTTCTCACAAGAAGAACAAACTTTAATTCTAAAGAGTTTAAAAATACAATACAGGTTTAAAGCAACACCGCTGCTGCAGCCAAACCAAGAAGGGAAGGTGGCAAAAATAATGTAGACTGAAATTAAATTCATTCACTGTTTCGATGTAGGTATGAAGACAATTTTAAGATTATTGGTATTGCTGCAGTCCTGGTGGTGTTGATCCGGCTTTTTAGTAAGTACAAAGCAAATATAAAAACATTGTTCAAACTGGTAAGTAGTCTACGTGCAAACATTGTGGAGTCAGCAATACAAGGTCTAAGTGCTTAATTAAGTGTCTGTTTCAGTATTATGCTGTGCAGAGGCCTGTAGAAAGTTCAGATTGCTTTGAAAATGCTTGCAGTCAACACAAAAATATAACCGTGATAGTCTATATCTCTCACATCTGTGCTTGTCAGAAAAGGATGTTAGATCGTCTCCAAAACCTCTTGTCTTCATAAGAGATCCTCTTGTTATATGTGCACTGAGCACCACAAGATTCTCTTGGAATGATGATGATGTTGATGAGGATGGTGAATTTATTGGTCAGTACATGTTGCTGATCTGTGTCTTGAACATAAACTGTTTGAGTTACTCCAGATGGTTGTTGCACAAATGCAAACTTGGCTAAAACTACTGGGGAAAAAAAACCCCAAAAAACAAAAGACCAACCCTAAGCATCAGCCACGCAAGCTTCACTGATCACTATTAATAGTAGCACTATTTACCCTTAGTTTTAAAATGCATGTATATATAACAACAGACACACTACCCTCATTTGACTTGTTAGCCTGTACCTGTATTAGGATGTGCTGTATATCACACTGTCTGCAACAGCTTGTGGCATGCATATTTTTTTGTTTATTTTGTTTTTCCTTCTATTCATAGGAAGTCAAGGCAGCCATCCTGGAGGACATGCTGCGGCTGGGCAAAGAAGGAGGCCTCAAGTCGTTTGAGCAGGTACAACATTCACCTATAATTTAGCTAAGGCTGGAAATATCTATTCTTTGTACCAGTGGTTCTCAAGATGGGGAGATAATATCCAGAAATCATTGAACTTGTCCTGGGGATAGTAGGGGTGGCGAGTTTCTGCCACAGTTATTTTACATTTGGGAACTGCTGCTTTATACAAACTTCATGCAGACACAAGATGCAGCTCTTCCGGAAGTAAAACATCATCGTCCTGCCTAACACAAAACCTGCTAACATGTGTGTCTTTTAGGTGAAGGCCATCTGCATCCACACCGAGATGTTCTCCATCGAGAACGGCCTGCTCACTCCAACAATGAAGGCCAAGAGGAACGAATTGCGTCAGTGCTTCAGGTCCCAGATAGACGAGCTGTACGCTAGGATCAAAATGTAGAAAGAGAAGGGGAGAGCAAACTGAAAGAACAGACAAGAGCTCTGCCAAAGAAAAGGGAAGCGGCGGAGAGGGGAGCATAATGAAGCACACAATCGGAAACAAATGAAGGAAGCCCCCCTCAGAGCTTTAAACTGTGCAGCTCTCATGACCAGTCACACTAGAAAACACAGGAACAGGAGATGGTGTAGCTTTGAATAGATTCCAAGAGATTAGAGCAGAGCCAACAGGATCTGTGGTATAGAATACAAGATCTCTACATTGATGCATCTGCTATCCACAGCACAGTGTATAATAATGACTCTAATCAGCTATTTTGGGGCATTTTATAGGGAAATAGTGCTCTGTAGCATCACTTCTCAGGACTTCGAGGACCACACACAAACTTTATAACTTCAAGGATTAAAAGGGAACACACCGACCAGTGGACCGGCTTTACTGAGTCTTACATTTGGATGAAGAGCCATATTGATTATTTCTACAACCCAAACCACCTCACACAGAGTGACTTGAACATTTTAGCATCTTTGATGAGAGTTTTTCATCCAATGTCATGATTTTATTTTACAATATGTGTGAAGTTTGTTAAAAGGGATAGCAGGATAGTCTCTGTTGGGACCTTTTAATGAATAAGCTGAACTCCTATTAGGGCCCACGGGAACCAGCAGAGTGATATCCAAAGTAATTCAGACAAAACTGTCAGGGAATTCAGGTACTAAAGGACAGTTAGGACATAGGGAATCTGTTTTAATGTTTTTAATTTATTTATGATAGTAACAGTAAGGGGAAGACAATTCTTAAATGAATCAAGTTTCTTAAATTATCATGCAATATCAGGGTGAAAAGATAATTAATTATATAAATATCTTATTCGCAGCCTGAATTAAACCCTCTTGAATGTTTTAATGTCATGGAGGTGCTTTTGACTGTGGTCTTAAATATTGTAATGTCATCTCACTTTTTTTTTTTTGTAAAAATTTTAATTAAAAACATCAAGACAACTGTGTCGTGTGTTTTGTTTCATCAGGACTGTGTCCAGAGAACCATTTAAATAAGAAGTTGAATTTTAATGGGTCCTATTACAGAATACAGAAAGCTTTTATTGCCAAGTGAGTTCGCACACACAAGGAATCTGACATGGTGAATGAAACTGTGGTACATAACATTTACAACAAGACAGGCAATAAATATAGAAATGTAAATCTAAAAAATTCGAAATATATGTGAGAGAAAAGTATAAAAGCACTATGTAAATAAAAAGTACTGTGTAAAGGAGACATACACTTGCCTAAACCAGAGTAATAAATTAGGAAACAGTTTAAATTACAATATTGCACATGAAAGTGAAGAATTGCACATGTAAAGATGTTGCACAGAGGTAGTGTAACAGGAGTCTTTAATGATTACATTACATTTAATGATTACGTTACATTACACTGTTATTTACACCATGGTAATTGTACATTTTGTTTTAACTGGGCCATAAATCATTCATCGGGTTTTGTTATTCTCACTACAGTGATCAAATATCTAAATTACGTCATTGTTACTTCGTCGTGTTGAAGGGGAACCTTCAGCAAATTTTGAACCGTTTCGCTTTCCGTAGGACCAAAATGTAAGCTAGTCCACTTGCGGAAGATAGTTTCGAAACACGTTCACTGCAGCCGTTTATATATTCAGCGAACTGTGTCCAGACTATATCATCGTACAATTACGTGCCACATGTTGTAGTTTTAATCACATTAACCTTCACTTTTGAGCCGTAAAGTATTGTGTCGGTATCCCCTGCCACCCCCGTGTGTGTGTAATGGTACAGCCCGGTGGTTGAACTATTTTGCGGGAACCTGTTTCAATGGAAGCAACGGGTTTTTTTTCAAAACAAGCCTAGTTTTTCACCCTCCGTCGTTCCTAATAAGGTAGAAAATATGATTCATAACTTATAAACTTTTTAAAAAATCGAACCTATATCTATAAACAGACACGGCGTTGTCTTTTCTCTCATTAAACCAACATATTTTAATGAACATCTGCCAAGTTTACGTTTCCCTGCTTGTCTTGCTGCTCACAAGATATGTGTGAGAGAAGTGGTCAAACCTAATAAAAATAAAGACTTTATTAGTTGTCATTAAGTGTTGTCTGATAGTAATGTAGCCTCACCAAGTTATGTAAGAGACAAATCAAAAAAGTACTCGGTTACGCTAGTTATGTCAGTTATGCCTTAAAGTGTAATAAATTTCAATGGAGTTTGGTGTGACAGTTAGCCACATAGCCGCTATGTGTTTTTGTTATTTTGTTAAACCTTGTTAGCATGTCTGTGTTGTGTTTTTACACGCTAAAAACATATGTGGCTGAGCAGTTGAAACTACAGTGCACCAATGACAGCATGGAAAACATTCGACTTCCGGGGTTTTCATATATAACAAACCAAATTAACCAATTATGTCAACTTGCAGAGTGGGACTTCCTGCATCATTATTCTTTGGAGTAAGTTTTCAGTCTAAACATGTCTACCTGAATTCCTCCAGTATTACCACTCCTCTTATGCATTGTGTTGAGTAGTTTTACAGTGTTTGACTTGTGGGTGAGCTCATGTCCTAAAGCTGTAATAAGTGAGGAGGGCTGGGTGGAGAGAGAGGTGGTGAGTCAACACTGTACAGTTACATCTGAGCCATTTTAAAGCAGGAAGGAATTGTATTCAAGTGGAAAAATCTAAATAAGTAACTTTGATACACTGAAATTAGATTTTCGATATTAAGTCAACAACTGGATTGGGGCTTTAATTTGGGATTTTACCTGTTTGTGGTGGAAGTGGTGGCACAAATATTAAAAACGCATCCCTGTCCCTTTATTCCTGCAGAGCCAAAAAGGACAAAGGAGCCAAGGAGCTCACAGACCCACCAGGAGAGACTCAGGTGAGTTGGTCAGTGGTGCCTGTAGTATAATTAGATAAATAGGCCATCGTCTTGTCAAATGTATGTTGTTGTTTTTTCATTCAGGATCTCTGTTGTGTTCAAATCCAGAAAGCTTCCTCTGTTGATCCAATGGATTCTCCTGACCTGTCTGGTATAGACAAAACTAGCTTCCTGCAGGGACTGCAGCTAAATGATGGTAAGTCTTTATATTTTTGTTCATGTCAGGGTCATTCTGAGTTCTTACTGTGTTGAACTCTGTATTGTAATTATACACGTTGTGTATTTGTTCTCCTGCTTCCACACTAGAGCATATTGTCAAACTACAAACTTCTTCTTACCAGAGAACTCTTGTCTTGCCTAGGTAACCCTCTGCATAGTACCGCTGTGGAAGAAGATTTAAATGATGTGGAGGAGAAAGAAATGGACAGAAAAAGAACAGAAAGAAAGGACATTCCTAAGACACTGAAGGCCACTAACAAACAGCGTGGGGCTGCTGTGAAGAAGAAGAAGAAGAAGGACACAGAGGAGGGTGAGGAGGAGGAGGAGGAGAAAAAGAAGAAGAAGATTAATAGGAGAAGTACTGGAGAGAAGATCAAAACCAGGTAATGTCTAAGGAATTAGTTTTTACTGTTATTTGTACACTGATGCTGCTGTGTTGTGCTGTGAATCAGTCACTTAATAGTGTGACTGGTGTGGCTGCATTGTCTTTGATTTACCATCTGTGTTTGTTAACGTCCAGAAAAAACGCATCTGTGCTCTACGTCTGTCCTCCTAGTTCATGCACTTTCTCACCTGTCTTATGGAAATATGTACTGATGTATCCTCCCATCAGTTTAGTGACATGTCTCTGTGTCCCACCAGGCCAGGGAAAAATCAGCAAATGATGAAGGACAAGAAGAGAAAGAGTGAATCAGGGAATGGAAAGACCAGTGACAGTCAGTCACAGGTAAGAAAGTAAATTATAACGTCTCCAGTAGAAATGATTGTGTCTATGGAATAACAAACTTGTGGTAATAAGGTCATAATCATAGCAGCATTAGGATTAAAAAAAAAAACTGGGAAAGGAAGTTTTACATATTCAGAGAAATGTGTTTTCCTTCAGGAGGAATCAGACTCTGGCACAGTCCAACAGAACCGTAGGAGAGTCCTGTCGTCTGATGAGGAGATAGACGAAGACACCAGCTGGGTATGGACGAATGTAAACAGTCAGCAGCCACAGGACTATGATCTACATTCTGACATTTCACCTTTCCCTCACTTTTATTCAGAACCCAAGTCCAAAAAAGGCCAGGATGTATAGTTTGGGCAGAAGTAGAAAGTCTTCGCTTGGCAGATCCAAACCCAGAAAGTCTTCATCAGGTAAGAAAAAAAGAGTAAAAGAGGCTGGCGTGAGTGATGACTTCTGGAAAAGCTGCAATGTTAAATGTCACTGTTTATTATTTTACGAAATAGAAGCACAAATTTTAAGGTCAGGATGAGATAATTAAGGCCATACAACTTTAATGTCAGTATGAAGCTGGAGACAGTTAACTTAGTTTAGCATAAAGACTGGAAACACAGGGAAACAGCCAGCTATTCTGACTTGTTATCTCCATAAGGTTGCCATTTATTTCAGCCTATTTTCACCCCTGTGTCTGAAAAACAAATTAAAATATCCTTATATAAAAGCCATTATAATGAAAGACCTCAAAATAATGAGAAACTTGCTCTAAATAACGACTTAGGATTTTGAAATTCTGATTTGTTAACCGGAAAAAATGAAAAACTTTAAGTACTTTGACTTGGTAACTGAGAAAAAAGAGAAAAATATTGACTTAATTTCTCAAAATAATTATTTACTACATTAAAACGATGAGAAACTATTTTGACAAAGCATCTCAAAATGAGAACCTTTCTTACAATAATGCCAAAGTTTCCATCTGAAAATATGTTTCTATTATTTCAAGATAATGACTTACGACCTCAAAATAATGTGGAATTTTGACATTTGATATTTTACCCTTGAATCTCAAAACAATGACTTGTGAGTAATATTGATCTTTTCCTGTAATGCTCAGCCACAAAGCCGATTTCCTTAGAGGTTAAAACCACACTTCTTCGTTGTGTGTTCATAGCTTCATAGGTGGGACTTCTGAGGTTGCCTTGTCTTTAGTATTTCATTTTAAAGTAGAAAATACTGTATGAAGGAAATCTATGCCATTCTGAGTGCAGTGGAAGCTTTTTAAAATTTAGCTAACTTCTATAAATCTTTGGAATATTACGGCGGTCAGTAGTAATTTTTTTTTATTACAATTTGGAGTTCATGAGGTCTAAAAATGTTTTCTCCTGTTCTTACTCAAATCTTGAACCGAGTAAATCTAATTATTCCACTTAAAGGAAGTGCATCTGGGGGAACTGAAACAGCCAGCAGTGATAAACAGAAGAGAACGAGACATCAGGGAGGAACAGATCTAGACGTGGTGCTGGATGCCTTTCTGGATTTTTGTGACCAGTACAGGTAAAGTGACATCATCTGAACAATAAATCTCTCTAAGACCTCTCTGATGTCTGTTGTCTAACCCCTTGACTTCATGTTCAACTCTGATATTTTCACATATTCTCAGTTTTAATCATTTTAATTGCAGAGTTGCTGTATTTATGTGTGTATTTGTTTGTTTTCAGTGAGACTGTGGAGTCTAAAGCAGTCAAAAAGGCCATTCATTGTTTCTCCGACAATGTCAAAGACCAACTTGTGGAAAAGGTAAGACTTTCTGAATTCTGTTTATGTTGTGATACAGAGGTTTCCAAACACAAGAGCTGACTCAGACTTAGACTTAGACTGACTTTGTTAATCTCAGAGGGGAATTCAGGAAAGACTCTGTGCTGTAATGAAGGTGGTTCAAGTTGGCATTTACAGGTTTAGATGTATTTTTGTTACCCACAAAAGCAGGTTAAGTTGCCTACTATTTTATTAGCATGAAGACACATAAATTATCAGTGTGTTTACCTTTAGGAAAATGTGCATCAGTGTGAGCAATGTGTGTGTGTTTTTTAAAATCTAAAATGACAATTAGGATTTCACCCAACTGGATTCTCAAACTGCAGATTTACATCCAACATGATCGTTTATAGCCATGCTTTAATGCCAAAAAAGTGAAATTACCGTTAGTGTTTTCCCTCAAAATAATCCCCAAAGGCACCAGCGTGCTATTGATTAAGTCAGCAATAAATGTCATTATCCAACAAAAGAGAGATATTGATTAATGTCAGAATTCTCATCACATGTTTTTATTTTTTCGTGTTTTTTTTTTTTTTTTCTCCTCTAGATCTCCTCTTGTAAAGAGCTCCGCATCCTCAAAAGAGAAAATGCAAAGGTAACTACAGAAGCACTCAAATCCTGGGAGTGCTGATTGATTGCTTCACCACTTTGGGTGAGACTGAAATATCCAAGTAGCTTCTGCACAGAGATTCACAGAGGATGAATCCTGGTGATCCTCTGACATGCATAGTAAAGTGTATGACGTTACTCTGTACTTTGTTCTGTGTGTCTGTGTGCATCAGGTGGGTTCTTCTATCCGTACAAAAACACAGAAACTGCTGAATGCCAAGCATGAGCTGATGAGGTGAGAAGCAACACACACACAAGTTATCTTTTCTACAAACACAGATTATCGGTAGCATTTTGTATCTACAAACTAAAAGTAATCCATTGAAAATAATTGGAACGCCCCTTCATGCTGTCAGCTAAATGTAATATTTACACAACAAACACCATAAATAACAGTAAAACTTTCTTTTAATATAGTCTACATGTGATTACAGTGACCTTTAACATCGTGTGTTTGGTCCAACAGGGCAGAGAGGCAGCTGTGGTTGCTGCAGAAGGAGAAAGCAGAACTTAAACTCCGATTAGCTGATCTGAGACGAGGCCAGGCCTTCCTCCACGACATCGGAGAGCTCAACAGACAATACCTGGACCACCGACGCAAACACCCCAATGAGAAGGAGACGGTACAAACACACAACGCAGATGCCATCATTCACTTCACAAATGCACCCTACCGTTGTCTTTTTTGTGTGTTTTGGTGAATAACTGCTATTTATTCGTACGCTGAGTTAAATTAAAACTCTCATTGTGACATACTTCCTCCTTTATTTCCAGTATGGTGCTTCCAGCTTACCGGCTCTGCTGTTGGAGACAAAGTTCATACATGGAACAGAGACCAGACAGAGAGGAGTCAACGAAAGACCGGAAAAAAGACAGAAACAAAATGTGACTGACAAATAATGTCTAAAGTTTAAACCTCTTGAAGACTAAATATGATGAGCAGTGTTGAAGCTGCTGGAAACTGTGTCGGGGGTTGGGGTTTTTGTACACCATAACTGTAAAATGTGGATCATTTCTTGCTGCATGCAACACTATATGTATATCAAAATAAACCAACAATAGCAGCATGTTTTCTTTTTGTGTATTTTCTGTTCAGGGAGGATGCATATTAATACTTGTAAGTTCTGCTCTGAACTGATGATGAACAAGAACAGAAGCTTAGACTGCTGTTAGGTTTCCTGTGAGCTTACACACATCAGCCAAAACATTAAAACCTGCCTAATAGGGTGTAGGACCCCCCTTGTGCCTTTAAGACAACCATGACATGTTGTTGGCATGGACATCGGACCCCTGAATGTGTCCTGGTTGTGGATCTTTTGGGTCCTGTGGGTTGTGAGGTGCATCCTATGCGTGCTTGATAAAACTGCTGTGTAGTCATCCTCAAATTTATTCCTACCCTCCCATTAAAGAAGGAAAAAACAGCTGTCACTGAAATAAGTTGAAATGTACAAAAGTAATAATAAATAAAAATTTTATGAAAATCATGGCATTGATTTTGAATTGTGGTTCAACAGAAATACTAAAAAAACAAACAAAAAACAAAAAAAAAAACAAGCATGATGGGACCCGTAAACTAATATTTTGTTGAACAACCCTTTGAGACAATTACTGCAATCAAGTGTTTTCTGTAACTCTCAGTCAGACTTTTGCACCTGTTTGCAGGTATTTTGGTCCACTGCTCATCAGCAAAGTGCTCTAATTTGTCCAGGACAGTTTTTTTTATTTATTTATTTTTTATTTTTTAATTACTCTTTTCAACCACAATTCAAAAGCAATGTCTTATTTCACTAAATTACAATTTAGCAAATTTTTATTTATTGTTATTTTTTCCGTTTCTAGTTATTTTGAGTGATTATTGTTAATTTTGCCTTTTCTTTAATGGAAGGGTATGAATAAATCTGAAGACTGCTCTAACACTTTGACCTCTTATTTGTGTTCCCCAGAGAACCTTTATAGGTGGATGGTAAGCACTGAAGAGGACCTCTGATTTCTTACTAGAGCACTGCATTCTAATAATCAACTAAATTCCCTCTAAGTGGTTTAATATAGCTCAGTTGTGTCTATAAAGTAGTCACTTTCACTAATACACGTTCATAACATGCTGTACCTTAACCTAAATTCCTCAATCCAGCTGACAGTTCTCTCAACCAATCAACGTCAGCCTTCTGGTCAAGGTGCTCGTGGCAGTTGCGGCTTAGTCCCGCCCGCTCGGGGGAAGCGGCGTTCCTGATTGGCTGAGAAGTTCCAGGCTTTTTCTTTAAACGTTGTGACATTTCCTCGTAACGCTTATTAAAAGACGGGAGACCTGTCAGCACCTGTTGTCCTCGGACGTCTCACAGAAAAGGTACGTCTGGTAACAGAAATATGTCAAATATTTAGACTTGTTGAATGATTTTAAATACGGGTTTATTTAATGGAGCCGTTTGTTAAAAGTTGACACCCGCCAGGTAAAGTTAATTCTCGACACTTTGTGCGTTAGCTTACTGAGCTACACCGCAGATAAACACAATAATAATTTACTCGGTGTGTAAAACTAACTGAAGATTGTCTTATCTTGTGTTTTATGACGGATGTGATTACTAGAAGGTGTTATGTCCTCCTATTCGCTGGTCACTGAGCTAGAATACCCCCAGTGTGACTTAAGCTAGCACTAATTTAACGCTGCTTCCTGGAGTTTTTGCTGCATGTCTTCACTTGTCCTGAGTCTGAAGTATTTTGCATTTTACTGCACAAGTTTTGAGGTAATTTTTCCACAGGAAACGGTTATTAGGGTTACAGCCTGATGACTAATATGTTTTCCGAGGAGATCATGTCCCGAAAAATGCTGTATCATTTTGGTTTTGAGGCCTGCCTTTGTTGGTAAAAAAAAAACAATAGCTGTAAATTTCCTGTTTTGTCAGTGGAGTTTTGTTATAAACCAACATGGCTTAAAAAGTACTGGATGTTCCCAAGTCTTAGCCATAATGTACTTTTAGTTTTCTGTTCACATGTTAATTATTTGACACGACATAGAACACAATATAAGAAATCATAGGCACTGACATTAATTTGGAGGTTTCTTAATGTTAAACACCACGTTTCCTGCTGTCTGGTGAGTTTGCAGCTTCTCTGCTTGCATGTGCATTGTTGCCCTCTTTGCTGCTTTTGTGCTTTTTTATTCAGGACAACTTTATTCAAAATTCAGGGCAGTGTGTCCTCTGCAACTCAGCTGAAATCCTTTTCATCCATCCTGTAGCCTTCACCAAACAAACCACAACACATCAGACAGTTATGTGTGAATAACTTCCAGGAAGAACCCGTTTGGCTGCTGTGGTAGATTTTTGTGGTCCATATGCAATTTGGTAAAGTGGTTTTGGGTGTAAAGTTGGGTTTTAGCGCTTGTGTAACTTGGCATCCTGTGTCAGCTAACCCAGTTAGACTTGCTTCACTGATTTATTGGACAATCAGTTATTCTGATAATGAGTTAATCGGTTTGAGTAAGTATTTTCAAGAACAAGAGTCAAAATTCTGCTTCTAAAGTGTGAATTTTTCTGGTTTCTTTACTCCTCTATGACAGTAATGACTAAATATCTTGATGAAAAGACACTTGAGGACGTCATCTTGGCCTTTTGGGAAACACTGGTGTACATTATTCCGTATTTTCTGACATTTTAGCAGCCAAACAAAACAAGTGATAGACTAATCAAGACAGGAATCAAAATGCTAATTATTATAGTTGTCGTCCTTTTCCTCACACAGATTTGTAGCAGGACAAAGTTGCTCTTGTGTGTAAAGGAATTACACTTAAAGACAAACTCGTAGATCATTTTTTGATGTCATAAATTTATTCTATACATATAAAGGGTTGGCTAACCCAGATTACAAAAAGACTCGTCTCCAAGTAGCTCGGTTTTCTCCTCCAAACCCTGAGAAGCAACAGACAGTGTCATGGTCGCTGTGATTAACCCACAGACGTCACTGTTATACATTTTTATTGTACCTGTCCAGTTAAGATTAGATACGATATGCCTTTATTAATCTCACAGTGAAGAAATTCACAGTGTTGTCAGCAGCGGTACACACAGAGATACACTCATACTAGACAGAAAAATGTACGTATAAAAAACAGTGCAAACATTTTATTGTCCAGCTCCTTTTAAAGAAACGCTTCGGTAGCTGAGGAGATCAGTATCAGAGAAAACGTAGTGAGGTATCAGTAAATCTAATCTGGATTAATTCTGTGTTTTAAACAATAATGGGTCAACACACCCTCAAACAAAGACCTCCATCATTAACAGAAACAAATCTTTATGTTATTTCTCACAGCAAATGCAAGATATTAAAAATGTTCTCCTGATTAAAACAGATCTCCAGGTGAAATAGTTTACCAGGCCACTATGTCATCCATCCTAATTAGGTTATAACCGATATATTGGGTATTTTAAAGGCATTAAACTGCGGCATAGGCGTTCTGAAGCCGCTTTAGCCAGTATGAGAAAAGGTTTACTGTAGATTTCATTAAAAGAAATGTCATGTATGTTTAAAGGAGGGATAAAAGCACCATGTTGTAGGAAACGGAGGAGAGAAAAATGGGAATCTAGAAACAATTTGGCATTTATTCAGGTTATTGCTTTCACTTTATCCAAGTAAAATGTTTTAATTTATCTTTTTTTTCTACTCTTTATTAGTGCAACAAGTACAACAGATTAGACAGATGCAGGTGGAAAATATACAAACAATGATGCAAAACGGTTAAATATAGTGAACAGAGGTATGATTTCAATATGGTACAGATTATTTTGTTGGGCGTGTCAGAGGAAACTGTATTTTTGTGTTTGGAAATACATAAAAAAAGGACTTTATACGTACATAACAATACTAATGCTAATAAAGTTACCTTGGGATTTGTAAGAAGGAGGCAGCAGGCCAGGGCGAACAGGGTTTCTCTTTTTTTCTTTTCCCTTTTCTTGTAGTTTGTTTTCTTATTTTTATCTTTCACACATTTTCTGATTTCTAAATCATCTCTGTTCTGTTCACGTCTGCAGGAACATGGCTGACGTTGGTGCTGATGGTGATGTGCAGAGTGGTGAGGACTCCCTGGACGCCCGACCATCCTTTTTTAAAAGGTAACTACAGTCCACTACTCACTATCTGACTGCCCCTATCTTAATGAACTTACACCTACACGGTCAGCCACAACATGAAAACAACTGACAGGTGGAGGGAATAGCAGTGATTATCTTGTCACAGTGACACGTGAGGAGTGGGGGGGATATCTTAGGCAACAAGTGACCATCTAGTTTTCAGAGCTGATGTGTTGGAAGAAGAAAAAACGTGGGGTGTAAGGATTTGATGTGACTGGTTTGCAGTGGTTGGTAGCTAACAGAGGTACCGTAATTTTTGGACTAATGAGGCACCTGAATATAAGCCGCACCCACGAACTTTAAAAAGAAAAAAAATGTGTACATATATAGGCTGCACTTGTCTATAAACCGCAGGTAACATGCACAAATACGTACCGTAGATGCTTTTTTTCCAAACAGTTCCTGTAACACGGCTGGTTAAGAAAATAAAACCTACAGCAGCCTACCAGGAAAAGTCATTGATCGCTATCTTCATCTTCCTCCTGCACTAAAACCATTAAAGTCTTCCGTGTCAGAATTAGACAGCCTCAGAATTACTTCATCACACACTTCCTCAGTCTCTCTTTCGTTGTCGCTCTCATTGTCACTTTCGTCTCGAGGCGAATTCGTAAAAATCCTTAAATTAGCCTCATCATTGTTTAAGCCGCAGTGTTCAAAGCGTGTGAAAAAAGTAGCAGCTTACAGTCCGGAAATTTACAGTAGTCTAAGGAAGTACAACCAGTGAATTGGAGACAGTTCTCACAAGAGCTACTGCAGCACAAATAGCTGAAAATGCGGCTGTGACAGGAAGGTTTCGGATCACATGATGAGACTGTGTAGCTGCAGAACGGTCAGTGTCAGTGCTGTCCACTGCTAGAGCACCTACAATGAGCACATGAAAACCAGACCATGGAGCAATGATCCAGTGAATGTGGTGTATTCGTTGTTTACTTGGTAAAAGATGCCAGCAGGATACACTATGGGAAGACGGCAAGCTGGTGCAGGTAGTGTGATGCTGTGGGTCATGTTTTGATGGGATACATTGGGTCCTGCATTCATGTCACACAAAGACACATAGCACCGACATAAACACTGTTGCACTCTATTCAGTATTCTTTGATGGCCTCTTTCAGCAGCATAATACTCGCTGCCACGCTGCAAAAAGAAGTCCAGGAACGCTTTCAGGAACATGACCAAGTTTCTCAGATGTTAGTCATATTGACATGTTGGTGCCTGATACCACAGGACACCACAAAACAATAGACGAGGAAATGTTTATTTGCAAAAAGGGAATCCACCATCCGCCGTGACTCAGGTATAGCCGAGCAGTGAGATAACCCGAAAACCATTATAACATCTATGACCGATGAGCACAGTCATGAACGGGTTGTGGTTAAACAAGACCTTCAGCTTCAGTCACCATCAACTGTCTTCAAGTGTGTTATGGCTAGACGGGTTTTTCAGCTTTTAAATGAAGTCTGTTCATCCATCGGCATGTTTCTGTGTGTGCGAATTTCCAGGCGCAGTGCAGCAAATGGTAAAAATGAAGAGGAAACGGACTCGGCTCCCAGCAGCAAGAGCAGCATCTCAGTAGGCGCCGACCCGTTCCGCTACAACATGGATTACCCCAGCATCGGAACCTGTTTGATCATCAACAATAAGAACTTCCACAAAAGCACCGGTAAGCACGCCCATTCAGTGATTCATACACGCTCATGCACCTCTCATGGGCAGTTGGACATTTTCCCAAATTTCAGCCAACTTTGCGAACGTCTGCAGCGGTTGTTAACATGTGCACAGGTGTGTTAAATTCGTGCCACACCGCTGAAGAGGAGGTGTGCTTACCTGACTGAAAGTTTTCTGTAAAGACTAAAATAGATAAAATAAATCTAAGTCAAGTAATGGATAGTGACTCAGTTTAATTGATCAGCTTTACTTCCATGGCCCTGGTATCATACACGTTGTCTCGCTGTTACACTTGAATAACAGTAATTGTTTTAACACCTGTGCTTTTACTCCGATAACAAGTCAAAATCCTGTGAAGAAGTTGTATCAGATAGATGGACTCCTTCAACATTATTGAATCAAACATGCATGAGCAGAAACTTCTTTCATCCCCCAAGTCCAACATACAAAAACTTGAATATATTAAATTTACAATCTCTCTGTTTTTCCCCTCACTTACATCCACTTAGAGGAATTTTCCTCTTTGTAGCAGTGGGGTTAAATCATGTTGTGACAACTACATAAACACATAAAATGAAAAGCTTGTCTGTCTTGTGACTACAAAAATAGTAGGTATAAGGTTTCTTTTTTTGTCAGACAATGAGTATTTTTTACATAGAAGCTGTTACCTTTGACGTGTTTCGACTGTGCATGTTCTCCCCGTGCAGTGTGGGTTCTCTCCAGGTTCTCCGGCTTCCTCCCACACAGTCCAAAACCATGTTGAGGTTAATTGGTGATTCTAAATTGTCCGTAGGTGTGAATGTGAGTGTGCTTGGTTGTCTGTCTCTAAGTGTAGCCCTGTGATAGACTGGTTACCTGTCCAGGTGAACCTGCCTTCACCCTGAGTCAGCTGGGATAGACTCCAGCCCCCCATGACCCTCGTGAGGATTAAGTGGTGTATAGATAATGGATGGATGGATGTTTCGACAGTCAGAAACATCACTGGCATCTGTGGTGACGTGTCTTTATCAGCTGGTGGTTTCCTGGAGGCGTGACCCGCCTGGCAGTCTGTCAGATGTGCCCGACGGGCCACACTTCCTGCCTCCCGCTGGTCTCTGCAGGAGATCGTCCCATGTGTGGGACAGCATGAATGCCCTCTCATCACGGTTCATGGTGTCTTTGGCTCGCCTCCTGATTTCTGTGGCCTCCTTGATCCAGCGTTTAAATTTGTTGTTCTCTGATCCGATGATCTTTGCGTTGTCCCAGTTCATGATGCACTACTCATACTCATTGTCTGACAACAATAGAAACCCTTATACCTAAAATCAGAGCAGACAAAATGAACCTAATCATGCAAAAATAGTCGTTACAATTTACCAGTCTGAAGTGTTAGAAGCAGGACTTGTGAGTTTAGAACATTCAGATTCTGTTCGTCTGTTCAGTCCTGTTCATTCAGCCGTAATGTCATTCTGACAGTTGTTGTCGTACTGCATTGTGTGTGTTTGTGCGACTCTCCAGGCATGAACACTCGTAACGGGACAGATGTGGATGCTGCTCTTGTTGCCAAGACCTTCAAGTCTATGGGTTACGACGTCAGAGTGGTTACTGACCGGAGTGTGTCTGAGATGAAACAACTGATGTTAGCTGGTAAGACAGATGTTTATGCATTCAAGGTTGCTGCTGTTTTAAAATAAATAAAAATACATCTTCTCTGTCCTGCTACACTGTCATGAATCACCTGGTTCTGAACTGGTTAACACTTTAGTTAAATGACCCAGTATTGGTGCACTTTTCTCAGGTTATGGACTGTTGCATTTATTCAGACTGCATTAATACAGGAGCATAAGGCTGGTTACCAAACAGTTTAATCAACTTCACAAATGTTTAAGGGCACTGTTAAGTAGTTCTTTATGCCAGAACCATTGCAAACCATTTTAACAGGTATTAGCTGAGTTTGACGATCCAGCATTAACATTACAGGTGTCTGTAACATCATTCTGACCAGTCAAAACAACGCTTGGAGATCTCAGTTTGGACTCGTCAAAATAATAGATGTAGATAACCCAAGTGTCATTATGACCGGTCAAAGCTGTTAGCGGAAGTAACCACTGCTGTGTGGGATAAGATCATCAGCAAGGAGTCGGTGGAGAAAGAGAGCTTTGTTCATCAGAGGCTTATGGCCGAATCTTTCTAGAACTTCAACCACAGGTATCTCAGACATGGAGGTAGAACAGCTTGTCATTTGCAGTGCTGGCCTTCCACTTGCCATAGCTTCTGGGCGGCTGAGGCTCAGGTGGTAGAGCAGGTTGTCCTCCAATCGCAAGGTTGCCGGTTCAATCCCCCGCCCCTCCACAAAGTGTCTTTGAGCAAGACACTGAACCCGAAGTTGGCAGGCAGCACCTTGCATCTGTCACCGTACTGTAACTCCTAAGTCTGATGTAACTACAGATACCTGCGTTGTCCTTTCATTTCACAGAGCCATTACATTTCAGCATTACAACATGATTCTGACCAGGTCAAACTGAATTTTCTAAAAAGGACAATGTGGATATCTGGAATATAAAAGATCCTTGTTCTAATTACACTGTACAGATCAGAAACTGGACTACAGCTAGTCCGAATTCAGCTGTAATTCACCGTGTGGACGTCTGCGACTGTATTCTTGACATCTGTAATGAGAAACCTCACAGACGTTTGTGCGAGGAAAGCTCTTAAATGTTTGACCAAGAGAACTGACTCTAAAATACTAGAACCGTATTCACTAAACTATGCTGAGAGTTAAAAACATCTGGACTTGAACCAACCTTCACCTTGTTCGCTATCTGTTCCTCTGCCTCCAGTATCCAAGGAGGACCACAGTCGGAGGGCGTCGTTTGTGTGTGTGCTGCTGAGTCACGGCGACGAGGGGGTGATTTACGGCACCGACGGCTGTGAGAAGTTTGACACCCTGGTGAACTGCCTGAAAGGACACCGCTGTAGTACTCTGGTGGGGAAACCCAAACTCTTCTTCATACAGGTCAGTTAATGGACACTTCATTGCAATGGGTGCTGAAATGCTTGTGCTTCAGTAAAACGACCACATTGTTACGGTTTTATTTCATTTAAGCTCCTAAAATAATTCTGAATGATTATGTGTTTTGCATTTTTAACCACCAGACGCCAGCTTAGAAAATACAGGAAGTTTATGTGCACATTTGTGGTGCGGTAATCAGGTTGAAATGGCGTTTTTTTGATGTTGTGTAAATGTGAACAACTACTACCTACAATATTCTCTCAGTTCATGTACGTAACGCCTGGATGTGCTGCTCTGTTCAGGCGTGTCGCGGTACAGACCTGGATGAAGGAGCGTTGGTCGAGACCGACAGTGTCGCAGAGCAAACGTCAGAGAAGATTCCCGTGGAAGCAGACTTCCTGTATGCCTACTCCACTGCTCCAGGTAACCAGTCATAGCAGAAGTAGTAGAAAAAAACGCATCGTGTCCTGTTAACCCAATAAACTCCTGTCGTATTTTTACTTTTTGTGGATTCGTTGTCAGTCAAACATGTCTTCAGTGTCGTACAACAAAGTGCCAAAAATCATTAAAAAATAAGCTGCAGGTGTCCACGTTGTAACATGAGATATTCACACAGAAAGATTTTTTACACTTTTAATTACATACGTACCAGTAACATACAAAAATACCGTAAATTTCCGAACAGTGCCTGAAACACGGCTGGTTAAAAAAATGAAAACTACAGCAGCCTACCAGGAAAAGTAATTGATCGCTATCTTCATCTTCCTCCTGCACTAAAACCACTAAAGTCGTCTTCTTCAGCATCGTAGCCGGAACAGCCTCAGAATTACTTCATCACACACTTCCTCAGTCTCTCTTTCGTTGTCGCTCTCAATGTCACTTTCATCTCGAGGGAAATTCGTAAAAAATCGTAAAAATCCATAAATTAGCCGCATCGTTGTTGAAGCCACAGTGTTCAAAGCGTGTGAAAGAAGTAGCGCCTTATAGTCCGGAATTTACGGTACTTTTTCTTTGATCACTTATTTTCCAAGATGTGCCCACAGTTGTTGCCAATACTGGAAAATAGTGGCTCTACATATTCTAGTTAATTAACTACTTCCACTTTTAATGTGTTTACATGAAACCAACAAGTCACAGGATTTTTGTCACATGACTGTTGCTAGCTGCTCAGCCAGTCACATGAGGATTTTTTTGATTTTCTTACAGAATCTGATTACTGCCAGTGCTTTGTTTTTTGACAGATTTTTAACCCTTTCAACACTATAGCCCGCTATACCGGACTGGCATTATGACTCCCGTTCAACCCCGCAGCCCGGTGTAGCGGCTCCGGTATATGGCGACTTCCTGTTGGTTATCAGAGGGAATCACCGTATGTGAACAAGCAATTCAGTCATGAAATAAATTATGCAAATTAAGCAAAATGACATTGTTTGACCCCCAAAATCACCAGAAAATGGGATTTTCACTGCATCGTTTCTGAAATGTTTATAAGCGATCAAAACTAGCTAATTACAAGACTTTGGCTGATGTCTCAGTATGTAAGAACTGATTTACCTTTTTCATACCTGTATTTCACCTGTATGTATATGACAAGAGTAGACTTCCAGATATATTTAACTGTCAACTTTTCTACTTTTGATTGACACCAGATATGTGATGATGTGAAGTCGACTAAAGAATTTATGAGTGATTAATCAAAACCATATCTGATCATGAATTTCAAGCCAAAGTTACTTAGTGTTGAATGAGACATGTAGGATAAAACAATTTAGATTAAATTTCCCCATTTTTTTTTGCCCAGATTTGGTAGTTCTTCCTGACAAAACCAATAATCACACGTAAAGGACGATTACAAAGCTGCAAATCTGTCAATTCTTCCTGTTTAGACACTTTATTATGTGATAAATGTTGTCATTGTGGTGATTTTTAACACCTGGGGTTTCGAGGGTTAACGTCAGCTCTTATTGTCACCTGTTTTGCGTGTGAGCATCTTTTCTAAGAGTCCTGACGCTCTGAATTGTCCGACAGGCTACTACTCGTGGAGGAACACCGCCAACGGCTCCTGGTTCATGCAGTCGCTGTGTGAAGTGCTGCAGCAGTACGGCAGCAAGCTGGAGCTGATGCAGCTCATGACCCGAGTCAACCACAAAGTGGCGATGAACTTTGAATCTGCCTCAGAGCTGCCTGGCTTCAGTGGCAAGAAGCAGATCCCCTGCATCGTCTCCATGTTGACCAAAGATTTTTACTTTCCTTGCTAGATTCTCAATCAGAATTTATCTACCTGTGGAAAACTGAGTGAGAAGAGTGAGTGTCGCCAGTTTCAGATGCATGTATTTGTCTGTTCTCTGGTCACGTGCCAAAGTAATTTTAATGACTATAAGAAGCACTTGAACGCATCATCAGCATTTGGATAAAAGGGAACAATTTTCAGGGTGCTTCAGTCTGAGCTGATTTTTGCTCTCTTATATTTTATGATTTTTATTTTCTTGTCTTTCAGGGAAACTTTAACTTCTGTCTTTTGATTGTGTGATACAGGAAACACAAAGTGGCGTCGAGACATTTTCAGGGATGTCTTTTTAAGCAGCTACACTCACGAATATCAGCAGATTACTTCAGAATTGAGTAAATAAATAAGTACTGTTTATTTAACTTTTTTTTTTAACACTTAACACTCGTCTGGTTTGTACTAGGTTTTTTTTTCAATGCAATAAATGCACAAACTGGATCACTCTGCCTGCGTCTGTTTTTAATTTATCACCATGAAAACGCATCCTAATAGAACACCACCATTGTTTTGTCCTAAAACAAAAGGGTGGAACTGAGCGAGTCCTGTTGTAGAACATCATTAATTACTTCTTATGCTCGTTTTTTATGTGGTCATACTGTAGATCTGAAGCTTTGTGTATTTATGTATCCCTACTGTCATCACCTTAGATGCTTTAATACCACTAACAAGAAGGGATTTTAAGCTTATTTGACTGGAGCAAATATAGACGCAATCATCCAGTTCTGACATGCAGGTAAGTACATAAAGCCAGAAGATTACTTCCAGTGCGGTTGCTATAAATAAACCTTAAGCACAGTGGCATTATGTATGTCTAAATGGGAGAAACACTTTAAAAAGCACATTAACTGCTTGTTTTTTGTATAGCATTAGTCAGTTAGTGTGTAATTAAAACTGAACAACATATCTGTTGAGACTCCAGCTAGTCTGAGAATTAAATACAGCACAAGGATAAAATAGTTTTTTTTCCTCACTTTGACTCAGTCTGGTTCAGCACTGTCACCTCAACATGAAAGGTGTGAGTTCAAACCTGCAGCAGCTTGGTTTTGTGAGGCGTTTGCATCTTCTCCCTGCGTCTGTGTGGGCCTTCTGCAGCTCCTCTGGTTTCCTCTGTTCATGTATTTGTTTAGAGGCTGTATTAAGCTTTAAATGTATTTATAAAAAGTTGGCAGGATGCAGCATTTTGAGTTTCATTAGCGCATGGCTGAGCACAGAAGAGACAGCTCCTCAGGACAGGACTCAGCAGTCCACCTGCATCTTAAGGACAAAGGACACTCATTAGAAGACAACAATGTACCGATGTTGGCCTGCAGGGAGGACAGATGGTTTGAGAGAGGAGTGAAAGAAGCCATCTAACTGGAAGGACCATCCCTCAACAGAGGTGGAGGTCTGAGGCATCACCTCTCACAATTCAGTCTTAAGATCTCTCCCTAGGAAGATGAAACCACTTTCACATCTAGACACAAAAGACCCTAACGAAGCCCAGTGTGGCAGGAGGAGTCCTAACGACTCACATAACGAGGGGGAGGAGCAACAAACCCTCAAATGAAATTGAAACTCAGGTGCTAATGGCTCCTTAAGGATATAAGTATCTGGAACTCCCAACTAGTCAGTCAGAACAGATGAAGCCTCTTGGATGAGAAGTGAAACGTCTTCAAGGAACTCAAGCAAGTCCAGTTGCTACGATTAACCTACCAGAATAACCACGACCTGGATGACTGAGAATCTTCACAGACACATTTGAGTTTCATTCTGAACCGTGTTGTTGGAAATATGTTATTTTAATGCTGACAAAGGTAAACTGGTCATAAGGAGAACATGGAGGATCTAGATGTTTACCTGCGACTCACCTGTGCAGGTTCTGGGACGCCTGGATGTCAGATTAGATAAAAGAGAGCAATAGTGTTCTGATCGCACATATAGTTTGTTTTCAAAATGCTGTTTTAATTCTATATTTTAAAAGGCGTACGTCTCAGTATGTTCTTAAGCCAGGCATGTTGGTATGAATAGCAAGTCTACATGATGAGACTGGTAACCTGGTGGTCCTCTGCTGCCCTCTACAGGACGAGGCAGGTCAATTAACAGAGGGAAAAGATTCAGAATTTACTAAATATTTCTTTGCAAACTCAGAATAGTGGCAAAAATAAAACTTCATAGGAGTCAAGTGAGTTAAGGACAAACATGTTACAGCCATTTCTTTATCAAAAAAACTTGCAGAATTTAAGAAAAATTAATTTTCCAGAATGGAACTGAATGTAAAGGGAATATGTGTTGTATAGATATGACAATCTGGGACTGAAATACCCAGTAAAGTGACCAGAAATGCAATTTAGTGACAAAAAGTGCAAAGTGTGTTTAGTGGGACAGTCTCCCCCTGAGAGATCTGACAGTTCAAGTCTCTATGGGGCTAGTTTGAGATACAGTGCATCAAAGATTCGACATGTTCTGTGTTAGATGCAGCTTTTTATGTTGAAATACTATCAATGTCTCTAATCCAGGTCAGGCCTGGACAGTTTGCATTCTGCTCCTAAAACACAAACACGTTAATTAGTGCTGCCGTCGTTACTCATTACCTTTATGAAGTCTGATAGAGGTAATCATTGACCCCCCAGTTGTGTACTTTGGTTGGAAATATTGTTTAAAGAACGGTTTGTGTGAATGATTAACAGTTTAGGTGGATGTTTTATTTTTTTCTTTTTAGGTTTTTAGTGGCTTCATGTTGCCACTAGAGGAAGCCAGACAAACGGTAAGTGCAGCTCTGAGGGCCTTTAATGAATCAGCAGTCCTTCAAAGGTTTCCAGGAACTGAAACTGTGGCTCAGTTTAACCCTCGATGCACCGATCGCAACTAAAACACACACAAATAAGGTTTTGTGTTGCTGGAGTTCTTTTATAATCCCCCACAGTGCAAATGATATTCATTCTGTGCAATGTGTTCATTTTCCTCTCTATGTCTGATGAGTATCTGTGGCATCTGTTGCATTTGGTGCACGTTAATTTAGAGACTTTCTGTATTAGTTTATCAGACCTCCTCCCCGCTCTGTGCTGCAGGGAGCACCAGTGTGTCACAGGCAGATAACACAGGTCACGTGAATTTAGGAGGACTTTTGTGCAGGCAGCAACTCATAACGCTTTTCAAACATCATGTTCTCTGTTCCTGAGAAAGCTGTTTTCTCTTTAGTGTAAACTGAAAGTGTCCCCAAGAGCAGAAATGATAAGAATTGCATAAACACACACGAGTAAGATTCAGTTTGGGTGCATGTTAAAGTCTAAAAAGCTGCAAATAAATGCGTTCATGTGTGTTTTAAAAGGGAGTCCTCACAGGTTTATGTATTAATATTATCTATTAACACAGCTGCATTTGCTTTTGTCACAGAAAACTGCCCATTTAAGCTTCGATTCAGCTTCTTTCTAAATGATGTTCCTCAATATAAAACGGTTCATCTTGAAACCCACAAGTGCATCAGCTCAGCCTGTGGAGGGAAATAAAACTGAAAACGTGCATTTTCCAAATAAGTGCAGGTGTTGTTTTAATTCTCATACGAGCTCATGTGAAGTTTCTAGTTTCGTTTCCAGCTGCAGCAGAGCAGAAAAGGGGAGGATGCAGGGGGGAGGATGGATGGGGCAGATAGAGGAGGGGGGAGGAGGAGGAGGGGGGAGATAGAGGAAGTGAAAATGAAATCCAGCCCAAAGATCGTCTCTGCATCTGTAGACAATGAACGAGTGTGAAGTGGGCGTTCGTTTTCACGGCGCTTCTCCTCCGCACCGCTCTGAACTTTGGCTGAGTTGTTTGCATGGACTATATTTGATGGGAAAGTACAGAGTTTGCAATAGTTGGCTCTGGTATTTTTAGCTTTGCAGAGCTGAAAGTTTAAACTCCAACACACAAGCAGCTGTGTGCACAGGCTTCTCTGCTTTAATCACAACTGGAGCCTGAGCTGCCACAACAGTCGAGTTATTAAGAAATTATAAACAGCTTAAAGGCATTCAGATTCTGATAAATGAGAAGGAAAAATCTTTAAATGAAAATACAGCATCATACTCCTGAAACTCCAATATTTTGTGGCTGATAAGTGTTTTGTGTTGGCAGGACAGAGATGAATACAGAGTGCAGATTCAATTTAGCTTTATATTATTTTCATGGTAGCTATAAAGCTTAAAATCTGTCCTCTGATAAACTAATGTTTACCGTCCCTGTTAAGCACCGAGGTAGAAAATATACTTATGTAAAAGTACTAACACCACAATGTACAATGACTTTCTTACAAGTCATCCGTTTCAATTTATACCTAGATAAAAGTGCAAAAAAATAAAAAATATACTTAAAATACCAGAATTAAAAGAAGTCTCATCATGCAGAATGGCAGATTTTATTATCAGATTATAGTTATTGATGCATTAAAGTGTTGATTTAACTACTTTATACAGTTTGTCTCATAGTTTCCCCTCAAACATCAATAACACTTAATTTTTTTATCTGATCATTGTTTTTCCTCTGCAAAGCACTGTGGCGACATGACTTTAACTGTGATGTATAAATACATGAAAATATTAGAATAGAACATCATTGTTCTTTAATGTACAGATATGAGCCGTATCATTGTTCTCCACATCCAGAGGAATCTGTGCAAAATCTGAACTTTCACACATGGAAGAATCTGAACAATATCAACAGTACTTATGTATAGATTTTGTATTTTCTGCTACTGATGTTACTAAATGTCTGTGGGATAGATAGATAGATAGAGAGATACTATACTCATCCCCTTGGGGGAAATTCGAAGTGTCTAGTAGGTTAGAGTTTAGGTATTTACAGAAAAGGTGCAACATGCTGGTATTTACAATAAAACAGAGTATAGGAAAAGTGCAAAACACAATAAACCTTCTAAGAATGTTCTGTTATTGGAGGTCTTGATGACATCTAGGAAACTTTTTTTGAACGTTGATTTGTTCCTCTTTTTGTAATCAGAGAACATCATCTGTGTTCCTGACAACCTCCTCTGCCTGGTGACATCCATCCATCCATCCATACACCGCTTAATCGTGGGGGGCTGGAGTCTATCCCAGCTGACTCAGGGTGAAGGCAGGG